GGCCATTAGAGGGCACCAGATCTCGTTACAGATGGTTGTGAGCCACCATGTTGTTGCTGGGAATTGAACTCAGGACCTTTGGAAGAGCAGGCAATGCTCTTAACCGCTGAGCCATCTCTCCAGCCCCCCAGGATCACTTTAAACAGCATGGCTAGGACTCAGGCTGCTTTGCCTTTTAGCTCCACCACCCAGTCCAACATGGTGGAAATCTGTTTAGAGCCAGCTCTGTAAGCCATGCTCACAGCCCCATTTTCAGGCACACAACGGGTCTAGGCTGCTGTTGAGCAGGTTGTAGCACTCTGCTCACGAGCCCCATTGAGGTGCTCAGCCTCCTGAAAGAACCAGAGTTTGTGCTGGCAGCGTGAGCCAGGAAGCCGTCACCTGAAGGTTTTGCTGCTAATGGTGAATCAGGAAGATCTCTCTTAAAGGGGCCGCAGCGTCCCTGCTTAGCGCCAACAAACAGAGCCTATCTGAAAAAAAATACAAGAATCTGCACTTAACTCTGTTCTTTTGTGTCTAGAATTTCTTTCCAAGCTCTCCCAGTTTTATGTGGATTTAATCAGCCCACATTGGGTGCCCATCTGTAACCGGAAGCTGCCCAGACCTGAAATAATCACACAGAGACTATATTATTTGCAATATTATTTGTGGCCAATGGCTTATATGTATTTTTAGCTAGCTCTTATATCCTAAACTCCATCTCCATTAACCTGTGCATCACCACCAGGTTGTGGTTTACCAGCAAAGTTCTGGCAGGCTCTGGCAGGACATCTGTCTCCTGCAGTGGCTACATGGCTTCTCTCTGACTCTGCCTCCTTTCTCCCAGCATTCAGTTTCGTTTTCCCACCTAGCTCTATTATGCCCTATCATAGGCCAAAGTAGCTTCTTTATTCATTAAACAATAAAAGCAACATATATACAGAAGGGAATCCCACATCAGAGAGAGGAAGGGGGGGGGGAAGAAATGAAGGAAGGAGAGACAGAATGAGGGAGGGAGGGAGAAGGAAAAAGGAAAGAAGGAAGGAGAGACGGAGGGAGGGAGGGAGGGAGGGAGGGAGGGAGGGAGGGAGGGAGGGAGAAGGAGGGAGGGAGGGAGGGAGGGAGGGAGGGAGGGAGGGAGAAAAAAATGAAGAAGGAAGGAGAGAAGAGAAGGCCAACTTAGGCCTGGCAGTGCACTTAAAACCCCAGCTGCTTGGGCTGGAGGGATGGCTCAGAGGTAAAGAGCACTGACTGCTCTTCCAGAGGTCCTGAGTTCGATTCCCAGTCAACCACATGGCTCACAACCACCTGTAATGATCTGATGCCCTCTTCTGGCCTGCAGGTGTACATGCATGCAGAACACTGTACACATAATAAATAATAAAGAAAACATTTATTTAAAAAAAAAAACCCAGCTGCTTGGGAAGCAGGCAGTAGAGGACAGAAAGTTCAAGACCAGCTTGAGCTACATAGTGACACCCTGTCTCAAATTAAAAAAAAAAAAAATCTTTTGAGACACAGTCTTACTTAGCCCAGGCTGGCCTCAACTCATGGAGGTATGTACCACCATACTTTGTTTTATGTCGTGCTGGGCATCAAGCCCGGGGCTTTATTCATGGAATACAAGCACTGTACCTACTGAGCTATATACTCCCAGCCCCTTCTATTTTTAAAAAATATTTAAGAGCTGAAAATATAGCTCAGTGGTGGACCAGTATGCCCTAAGTTCTACCCTCAGTACCATAAAAAAAAAATCAGCCATATGAGGCAGAGCTGCGTAAAACTAAGCTAATGGTCTTTAATGTACAGGATGAATGTTCTCAAATGAGTCCTCCCACACACAACCACAACCAAGAAACTGATGGTTCATCGACCAAGAAGCTGGCTCCTTAGGCTGCTTGTCAGTGGAAATCCTGGTCTCTACTGCCTATGCTGCCCTTACCCACATGGAGCAGAGGTGTAGACATCAGAGCCCTGCCTCTGGGTTGCCCCGGAGTTTTCCATCTCAGAGGTGGGCCCTCTGTTTACTCACTGGGGAGTTCAGTTGGGAGTAATTATAAATACAGCTGCTGGGCTGCGGTGCTGCAGGACTGCTGGGCTGCAGGACTGCTGGGCTGCGGTGCTGCAGGGCTGCAGGACTACTGGGCTGCAGGGCTGCTGGGCTGCAGGGCTGCTGGGCTACTGGGCTGCAAGACTGCTGGGCTGCAGGGCTGCTGGGCTGCAGGACTGCTGGGCTGCTGGGCTGCGGTGCTGCAGGACTGCTGGGCTGCAGGGCCGCTGGGCTGCGGTGCTGCAGGACTGCTGGGCTGCAGGACTGCTGGGCTGCGGTGCTGCAGGACTGCTGGGCTGCAGGACTGCTGGGCTGCGGTGCTGCAGGACTGCTGGGCTGCAGGACTGCTGGGCTGCAGGGCTGCTGGGCTGCAGGGCTGCTGGGCTACTGGGCTGCAGGGCTGCTGGGCTGCAGGGCTGCTGGGCTGCAGGGCTGCTGGGCTGCAGGGCTGCTGGGCTGCAGGGCCAGTGTGCGTGGACCTCTGAGAAAATAGCCACTCTGCTCAGTTATTAACGCTGTTCTCAGTGCCCCTTCCTTGTCCATTCATCCAGCCCTAAACAGAAAGGGTCCCACTGCTGAGTACCCACTGAGGTAGATCCTGGCAAAAGCTTTAACTACAACCCCAGGTCTCCTTCTGAAATGCCTAGGAAGCATACTACACAGACGCTGGGTCAGGAGCTGGGGACAGAGGAACCAGGACAGAATTGCAGTGTCCAAACCTCAGCTCTGGTCCAGACATGAACCTATATTGCTAAGGTGGAGTATGTGATTCTTTCTCCCCACAGAGAACCAACAAGATGTGTACACACAAGCCCTTAGACATGTACACACATTCCTAGGCATGCACATACACAGTTCTAAGATATGCACACACAGTCCCCAGACATATACACACAGTCTCCAGGCATGCAACACACGGTCCCCAGACATGTACCTACAATCCCCAGGCATGTACACACAGCCTTCAGACATATAGCACAACCTCCAGCATGTACACACAGCCTTCAGACACGTATACACAATCTCCAGGCATGCACACATCCCCAGACATATACACACACAGGTTTCAGGCATGCACACACAGTCCCCAGGAATACAGTCCCCAGACATGCATCCGAAGCCTCTAGACATACTCATACAGCCTCTAGCCTATAGACCCTGCCTCACACACAAGAACAAGCCCATGCACATAGCATACATACCTGCTGAACACCCACAGGCTGAGGGACCGCCATCAGTCGCTTTTAGACGTCAATACGTGTGTCCCAGCTGTGACTTAGCCATAGGCTGCTGTACAAGATGCCGTAGGCTAGGGCTGACAGGAAGCAAAAATGTACCTCTCACGGTCCTAGAAACTGGAAGTCCAAGGGAAGATCTGATGACAACCTTGTCTCTGTCTCATCTGGAGGGAGCTGGAGCTTTCTAATCTCTCTGTAAGAGCGCTGGTGCCAAGCCAGACAGTGGTGGCGCACGCCCTTAATCCCAGCACTCCGGAGGCAACGGCAGGCGGATCTCTGTGAGTTTGAGCCCAGCCTGGTCTTCAGAGTTTCAGGACAGGCTCCAAATTTACACAGAGGAACCCTGTCTCAAAAAACAAACAAACAAACAAAAATGTCAACGTATGAGTTGGGGGGCACTTCAGACCTTAGCCTAATGCAAGCCCACATGGACCATGCCCACTCCCTTCTTGGTGCACATGCAAACACACCGCGTGAGCAGACATGTCTCACAAAGGCCCAGCCAGGAGGTAGGGAAAAGGAGTCCACGGTGCTCTGAGGCCTAGAACTTTCCCCTTCTAGGAAGATCATCCTGGGGCTAGAAACAGTTCATCCTTGCCCCACGCCCAGGGCCAGCTGCCAACAGAAGAAAGTCTTCTATCCTTCAAGACCTAGGACTTCTTCCTCTCCTAGTCAACATGGTGCTCTGATGAACCTTCACTGCCTACCTTCTGTGGCCCCATAAATAGGGGAGCCCCCCCCCCCTGCTTCTGGGTGGAGCCTTAACAACCTAAAGTAGGGGACGGTGATGGGCAAGTGAACAAGAGAGAAAGGGCAGTAGGAGAGGTTGCTTGTTCATTCACAGCTGCTCAGACCCGAAATAATCACACAGAAAACTATATCATTTGAATCACTGCTTGGCCAATAGCTTAAGTATATTTTTAGCCAACTCTTATATCCCGAACTAGCCCATCTCCTTTAATCTGTGTATCACCACATGGCTGTGGCTTACAGGCAAGGTTCCATCTGGTGTCTATCTCTGAAGCTCCTACATGGCTTCTCTCTGACTCCGCCTTCTTTCTCCCAGCATTCAGTTTAGTTTCCCCACAAACACCTCTGTTGTGCCCTGCTATAAGTTCAAGGCAGTTTCTTTGTTAATCAATGGTATTCACAGCACACAGAGGGGAATCCCACATCTGGCCTCAGAGGGCACTGTTTCCTGCATGAATGCAGCCATGATGTCACTATCTAGAGAGGAAATGGCATGACAACCGTGCCTGGTCTCTCTAGCACCCTGAGCCAGGCTACCTCATACCAAGCCAGCTCCCTGCCCTATTTGTCACCCCAGATTCCACCTGCTGGGGCAGTCAGCCTGAAACCCAGAGATACCCACCCACTTGGAACATCCACAGACCTGAGGCTCAGCCCCTGCCCATCTCTACCACAAGTAGAAGCTAGCTGTCTGTCTCTGCGAGGGCATAGTGGGTATTAGACAAGCCCCAACCCAGTGAAATCTCTCTGAATAGTAGTCTCTAGAGGCACAGGACCTGGGTTTTGTTTTTTATCCACAAGCCGCAGATGAAGAAACCAAGTCAGGACAAGGGAACTGCACCTACCCACGGCCATCCTGGCCACAGACCAGGAAACCAAGGTTAGACAAGGAAATCTGACCTGCCGAAGGTCAGCCAAGGCAAGCTGAATGTAGATAGCATGATGGCCTCCTAAGCATCTAGTCCCTAAGTGGCAAGGCCAACAGCATCTCCCCTCCCTTCATAAGTGCCCACACAGCCTGGCTGTGCCCCTGGGCTAGCCAGCGCTCCTATCCAGGGCCCCATAGGATGCTCCCCGTGACGGTCAAGCTAAGGCACCCAGGCAGCTGGGATTATGGGGAAACAATCTAACTCTATGCTCATGGCCAGCCGGTTCTTCCACTCTCTCTGAGATGGCCAGACCAGTCGAGCGGCTTTGGGCAGTCCCTGCCTCCTAGCAGCTCCCGGCCGGGAGAATCGGAAACCCGTCAGGCGGGTTTGGTCAAAATTCTGTCTTGCAAGTTCATGCTGCTTGCTCCTATCTCTCCCAGGAGGGGATCACTCGGGACCGAGGCCCCTGGAGGTCCAAGGCTGGCCAAGTGGCCATGTGAGTACACGCTTATAGCAGGCAGGGCCCTTCCAGGAGCTGGGTGGGCTGGAGTTGTTGGGGTGCTCACCTTGGGGGCCGGAGACCCAGCTCAGACTTCAGAGCAGGCAGCCCGGAGGCAGAAGGCAGGAAGCAGAAGGCCTGGGAGGCGGGAGGCAGGGACAAGCAGGCTGGCCTGCCTTCACCTGTGGGAGGTAAGGAGGACTGCCTGATGCCTGCTCCTGGGGACCAAGCAAGGAGGAGGAAGGCTCGAGGGTTTCCTGGGCAGAACTTTGGGAGCAGCAAACGTGAACCCTGGTGAGACACTCTGGCCCCAATCTCTGCAGAGGGCTTCAGGGCCTAGGATATAGGCTGGTGTCCTATCCCTAATAGGCACAGTGTCCTCAGTCTCTCACCACCTAGTTCCTGTGAGTCCAGAAACTGTGCAGTCATGGGAACGAGGGGAGCACAAGGCCATGTCCAGCCGCCCATAGCTCCGAGCTTGGCAGGGGGACATTGTCAGGCCCTGAAGTTGGGTCAATAGCTGCAGTACTGCAGCAGGCAGTGGGAGACAGTAGGATCAATCACTGGCCTACTCAGTCTCCTGCCCCAGGTCTGGGAGGATGGAGTCAGGTTGCAGGACCTTCTGTCACCTGAGCTGCAAAGCTACCTCAGGCAGGCAGTGTGCACACAAGCATGAGACATGAAAATGTCTGTGTCCACTGCCTGTGTGTACACAGCCATCCCTAGCCCCGTGTAAGGGTCGTGTGCATGGAAAGGGACGGGCTGACGGTGAGCAAAGGCATTTACTTTTGGCATGTATACACAGATGTGGGTTTCTCCAGCCGTTGCTTTGTCTGTCTGTGGAGGCTACCTGTCTCTGTGGGTTTATTTTCAGAAAGATATCAGAAGCCACCTCTCCACACAGCCGCAACCCAGACCGACCCAAGAGGTTGCTGGGAGGCCCGTGTGTCTAGCCTGTATCTCTTGTGAGCTGATGATGGTAGGCAGATACCATCTCTTAATCTCAGATTTCTATAAAATAAGAGCTGCCATGGGTGACCATGAAGTGCACATGGGAGCACGTGGGCTTAGAAGCCACCCCCCCATCCCTGTCTGGTCCCCTGGATCAGCATGGAAGCTCCCACTTCATATCAGGCTCCTCCTATCTCTGTGGTCACCACCACCAGGTTTATGAATGGGGAAACCGAGGCACAGCCAGATGAGTAGCAGCTTGGCTAAAGCTACTATGGGAGATGCTTTGCCCATCCCTTCAGTCTCCCATTCAGAGGATGAGAAGAGATGGAAGCAGCCGGACTCTTGTTCAAATCCAGCCTCTGCCTCCCTGCCTCTTGTCTGCTCCGTGTCTTGGAGTGTGAATGCGTAGCATGGGATACTCAGTATTTCCTCAGTACTGTGTACAGCAGCATCTGCCGTCATTACCACCTCTGTGGCCGTTGCTGCTTTCTGTGGCTAAGTGGACATCAGATGGGTTGACTAACAGCTCATCCTTAAAGAAACAGAATGAGGGTTTGCTGAAGAGTCCTCTTCCCTTGAGGGCCTTCTAGAAGAAAGGGGGCCAGGCTTTGAGGAGAGCCAGGCAGGGTGGAAGTCGTTGGTCTCTGACTTAGCACTCTGGGAAGGGAAGGAAGCCAGCTGCCGTCACCCACCAGTGACAGGAGTCCAGGGGCTCCAGCTGCCCCAGAGAACACATCTAGGTATGGCCACTGAGCCACCTCTTGGGCTTTGCCACATCTGTTCTTATTGGGAGTTACAGCTGGGGCCATGAGCCCTGCCCTGAAGGGAACGCATGGCACCTTCCCTGGGAATGGCCACCAAAACCCACGGACTAGTGGTCACTCTGTGTCCACCGTCTGCTTAGAACACAGGAAGGGATCTGTCCTCCTACAAAAGGTCTTTTTGTTTGTGAGACTCAGGTCTGTCCCAGGAGGGAGGGCACTGTTAGTCCCCTGGGAGCTGTACGTGAGGGAGATAGGAGGTTCAGGGTTCCCTCTGTCACACACAGAATACGGCCACCTGACTTCTGTCTGGAACATGTGATACCCGTGAGAGTCTTACAGAAACCCAATACAGGACATGGGTGTGTCATTACCCCCAGATGAGGAAACAGGGGCTCAAAGCAACTCACCCGAGGCTATACATAGGAAGGAAGAATCGTATTCAAAGCCCAGGCTAGTGCTCTAGGCTAGCACTCCTGTGTCCTCTGGGACACCAGCCTGCTGGTCTGCTGTGATTGGCAAGGGAGGCCCCTCTGGGGAACTGTGAGGTACAGGTGAAGGGTCTGAGGTTCAGTTGAGGCTCCTTGGAGGCAGGTGAGCCTGAAGAGCAGGTGGGGGCTCTACAGAACAGGTAGGGCCCCACAGAGTAAGTGGGGGGTCTAAGGTTCAGGTGGGGCTCCTGGGAGGGTAGTAGGGACACTTGGGGTAGTGGAGGCCCCCATGGAGCATATACGTGCCTTAGAAGGTAAAAGGTGCTGATAGGGGCTCTTGAGACAAGTAGAGGTGCCACGGAGTAGGTGGAGATTCAAGTAAGGGACTGGGGGTGGGGATGGGGAAAGAAGGGGAGGGAACCTGAGGCTCAAGTTGGCTCCACGGGGAGGCAGGCGAAGCTTAGAGTATGCCTCCTGGTGAGAACTTGTGATAGCAAGCTTCTGCCATCCCTCAGGCTTCCTCACAGTAAAGTGCTTTCCTAAGCACTGACAGGGGAGCGATCTGGCTTAGGGATGTGCTCTGTCTGATTCTGGTGAGCCGCACTGAGTTGGTTCGAGTAGCACTCAACCTGTCCATGTAGAAGCCAGTCATATCTCACATCCTCCTGCCTCTTGCTGGCTTTAATTCTGAACAAACCACCTATGTCCCTGCATCTTCACAGACAAAGGGAGGCAGATTGGCCTGAGGGTGTGTAATGCCTTTGTAGGTGGCAGCTGCTCCCAATGTCGTATCTGCCTCCCCAACTGCTCTGGCAGCAGCAAAAGATGGAGCAGAAGCTGTTCTGCTGCCTTGTCCCTCCACCAGCTCCTTCCCAAGGGCTCAGTGCCCACACAGACATTCCGACCTGGATGTCAAGAGTGAGGGTCCTGTCTAGGGACCTAAGGCTCAGGGTTAGGGTTCATATCTCTGCCTACCCCCATCACCACTCTGCATTTTTGCAGCCCCAAAGCACCCTCACACATTCCTGGGTCCCACCCTTCTGGGTTGAAGATCGCACCAAGCCTATCACCTTTGCAGGCTTCTTACTTCACAGCTCTCTACAGCTGGATGCAAAGACAGCCGTGGCCTCTGAAGAGACCCACTCCCACCTACAGAGCTCCCTGCATTCCCAAGACTCACAGAGCAGGCCTCCTGGGGACAGCCACTCTGTTGGCACAAGGTTTCTGGGCATGGGCCTGTGTATTCTTAAAAGCCAGGTTCATTCCTCCCATGGGTGCCCATTTCTGCACCAAAATGGCTTGAAGGATGCATCCAGGCATCTACCACCCTCCATTTCCTTTCCCTGCCTGGACCCCTAAAACTCTAGAATGGTAGAAGCTGGGCACAGGGACACCCTAGGCACGGCAGGGGCCCAGGAAACTGAGTTCCACTTTATCTCAGTTGTATGTGTCTCTGTCACCTGATTACCAGGGAAGTCACGTCATCCCTAGAGCAATGTTACCCTGGATCAAGACGACCTTGTTTGATCTTGTCACGGCCCTGGGTCCCTGGACAGGACACACCATGGAGATCTGAGGGAACTAAGCCAGTGTCCAGCAGAGAATTCAGGACTGCTCTTTGGGGACCTTGAGAGTAACAGCCTAGTGGTCTGTGCCATAGGCTAGAATGAAGAAACTAAACAGCATACAGACCTCACCCCAGCCTACAGGCTCCTCTACAGGTGTTGGCCCAGCCCATAAAGCAGGTGCTAGGGACTGGGGAAGAACCACCTGCTGGGCGAGTCTGGGTGGAATTGCAGGTGCTGGCTTAACCCCTTCCTAGCCCTGTTTGTCCCAACCAGCTGGTCCCATCTCCTTGCCTTCAGCAAGGTAAGGCCTACACAGCTGAGCACACCAGCCCTCTGGAAAACATCCTGAGCTCATGCTGGGTGAATAATCAAGTCTGAGTTCAAATCTACTCCCCACCCCAACTACACTCCCCTAACAAGGTGGGGGCAAGTCCTCTTTGAACCTCAGTTCCCCCACTTGGAGAGAAGTTCCTGGAGCTATCTTGAGGATTAAATGGTAAAAAATGATACCCACCCGTATTGAATTCAAGGAAGAAAAAAAGGTAGCTAGGTCCTGGTCATGTGACCTAGGACTGGAACACTCAGCCTCTGACCCCTCAAGGCTGGGGCAGTTAGTTAGCCCACAAGGATATCCCTCCTTGAGATGAGCCTTGGCTCCCAGACCCTGGTTGAGGGACCTCCCAATTCTTCATTCCCGTGTCCCTCATCTAGCAAACACAGAGCCACCAACTGTCACTTCCAGGACTATAGCCAGCTCTGGGAGAGCTAGAGCCCAGGTGGATCTGTGAACAGTTTGGGAGCCCATCTTCTTCCTGGTTTCTGTCCCCATACCATAGATGTCTTTGCTTGGTGAGTTCCCGTGGCCACCACGGCCACTGTGTGGCACAGGATCCACTGCCCTTCTCCCTACTCCTAGCTCAGCCTCCAGAAGTCAGTCTGTCCAGTACTCTGACCCCGTGCTGACCCCGTGCAGTTTTTACCCTTAACCCTTTCATCTTCCACCATCCAACCTTCAGCCATTCATTCTCTGCCCCTCCCCCTGGGCAGCCCCTCACAGAAAACGCATTTGCCCCACACCTGAAGAGCTCTCCTTCTTTTCAGCCCAAGCCCCTACTTAAATCAACCTTCTCCCCAACTCCCCTACCTACAGGCTGGACCCAGAAGGGCAGTAGAGCTCCCAACCCTCCTGTGACTAGAGCAGAGTGGCCAGCGCACAAGGAGCCATGGACAGCTTCATGGAGTCACTGAACAGACTGAAGGAGGCCCATGAGAAGGAGGTTCTGGGTAAGTGGTTAACAGAAGGCTCCCCTGTGCTCATAGGAAGATGGTCTTGGGGGTCTGGGCAGGTTAGGGAACTTCCAGGATACCCTTTAGTACTCAGTAGGTCTGTCTGGAAAACAGAATCCTGACCAAAGGACACAAGCTGCGCGGTGTCCAGACTCGGCCTGGAGCACTTCCTCATCCAGAATGTTTTCAGACCACACCCCTTGGTGTGAACCGGAAGAGGGACCTATTCAGAGATCACCATCAACACCTCATGACCACAAGCTGCATCCAGCCCCCAAGCACGGCCCTGCTGTGTCTTCTCAGAGGGTTAGCAGCTCCAGCACAATATCTCCTAACTCGGAGGGAGAGGCTGCTCATTCTAGAGCTCCTAAGGCCATAGGAAGTGTCTAGGGCACTGAACAGACACTCCCTCACCCTCCAGCCCCTGCTAAGTTCCCCAGCCATCAGGGTGCCCTCCACCCACCTCATTACAATTCCAATTCAGTCCTGGGAGGCCTTCCAGGAAGAGCCAACTGAAGGTCGAGGAAGCCAGACACTCCCCCAAGCCTCAGGGAAGAAGCCAGTCTGTCCTTCTGAGAACCCCCAGGCCTACCCAGGCTGGGATCAGTCTCACTGGATCCCAAAGAGGTGTGTCAGTGAGAACTTGCTCTGAAGGCCTGTTGATTGTACATCTAGTGTTTCAGGAAATGTCCCAGAAGCAACAGAAACAATACCTGGCCACGTGTGCCTGAGGATACGAGCTATGGTTAATAGGATTTCATCTTGAGAGGTGAAGAGCAAGCACTGACCAAGATGAGAACACTCCCTAAAGAGGAGTGGATCTTCTTTTGGCAGTTGGTTTGGGCTGTCAGACAATCTTCACCATACCTAAGAGACTTGGTTGGATACACAGGAACTCAGGGTGGGGCAGAGGCTGCTGAACCCTGGGGGCAAAGAACTTGTTGCTGCTGAGAGAGTAGATGGCTAGACCCACCCTAAGATCGAACTGCTCTGAAGACCGTACAGACCTCAGTAGAAGAGAAAGACAGGTGCCAGTTCTTTCTGTCCCACTCCATGTACCCAGTAGACACTGGCAGGTCCTGAAGTTAGGGGTGTATCTAGCTTCCCCTCCCTAACACTAGCACTACCACCCCCCCAAAAAATAGCCACTCTTGGATGCTCTGCTCCTGCCAGGTAGCCAACCACTTCCAGGACCAGGGTCTCTGTCAACCGCTAATTAAATGCTAAGTTAGGGACCCCGGCCTCAGTTCAGGAAGTCAGAGCATTTGGGCCGCAGATGTAGATGGGGTGGGTGTCAGTGAGCAGGAGTCTGGAGAGGATCCCATGTGATGACCAGGGCAGGAGTTGCCACCTCATGCCTCAGCCCTACCGGTGCTGTGGGAAGCATCTGGACCTGACCTGTACCTGTCTATCTTCTCTGCTAGGCCTGCAGAACAAGCTTCTAGAACTGAACTCAGAGCGGTGCCGGTGAGTCAACCCAGCCAAACCAGCAGAGCAGACAGGAGGGCAGCTGTTCTCACAGGCCATGGCCACCCACACTGCCCCCAAGGGGACAGGGAGTCTCTTGGCCAGGTGACACTGTTTATGTGGTAGAGCCGGGACTAGACCATTGAGATGTTAGCCCCAACGGGTCTGGCGTGGCCCTCCACTTGGAGACCCAGTGAGACCAAAGCCCCCGTCACAGTACTTATTGTGGGTCCCAACGCATAGCCTCAATTGCTGGTGGCTGACCTGCAGGTCCCCTTCCTGTATCCCATCTCTGGCTAAATGAGTGATTCTCAACCTTCCTAACACTGTGGTCCTTTAACACAGTTACCCCTCATGTTGTGCTGACCCCCAACCATAAGATTATTTTCTTTTTTTATTTTTATTTATTTATGTATTTATTTTGGTTTTTCGAGACAGGGTTTCTCTGTAGCTTTGGAGCCTGTCCTGGAACTAGCTCTTGTAGACCAGGCTGGCCTCGAACTCACAAAGATCCGCCTGTCTCTGCCTCCCGAGTGCTGGGATTAAAGGCGTGCGCCACCACTGCCCGGCTACCATAAGATTATTTTCATTGCTACTTCAGAACTGTAATTTTGCTATTATTAATGGATCATAATGTAGATATCTTTGCTTTCCGATGATCCTTATAAAATGGTTGTTTGACACCACCCCACACACACACACCAAGGAGTTGCGATCCCCAGGTTGAGAAACAATGGACTAGACCAGGGTCCATATGTACTGTAGTTAAGGTAACAAGAAGACAAGATAGGCCATAAGAACAGTTCTATCTGAGGGTGTGGAACTGAGCCCCATTTGAAGGGCCACACTCTAAGGGAGATCCCTACAGGGAGCTGCCAAGGGGGGCCCTACCCAAACCCGGGCTACGCTGGCCATTAAGACTAGTATTCCACCTCAGCTGTTTGCCACACAGGGACGCACAGAGAATAGAAGAGCTCTTTGCCAAAAACCACCAGCTCCGGGAGCAGCAGAAGGCACTGAAGGAGAACCTGAGGGTGCTAGAGAACAGGTGAGGGCCCCCTCCCAGAGTCAACCTGGGGGCCGTTAGCACAGACCAAGCCAGACAGGTGTCTCAAAGCCAGGCTTTGCAGAACCTTAAGAGAAAATCCTCAAACTTAATCGCACATGGGATGCTAAGCCCTCAGCAGGAGGCAGGCCTGGGGGACCATGGACCACAGTTTGGAAAGGCAGGACATGTCCTGGCAATGGGGCATAAGGAACCAAATGTCTGCCTCAGTGTGACTTCTCCTATCCCTAGGCTGAGGGCTGGCCTGTGCGATCGCTGCATGGTCACCCAGGAGCTGGCCAGAAAGAAGCAGCTGGAACTGGAAAGTGCACACCTGCAGAGCCTGCAGCATCTCTGCATCCTCAGTGAGCCACACCCACAGGCTGGGGACCCCAGGGCCTGGTCAGCCCACACAGAGCCACAGGGAAAGAAGGAGGCATGACTCCCAGTCATCACACCAATTCCTGGGCCAGGGCATCCCCACTCTCCTGACCTTCCTGAGGGAGCTCTAGGGACAAGCTGGAGTGTTGACCTCATCCTTCTGCAGACCGCAGGCAGAGGTTCACTCAACACCATCCCACAGTCCACACCTACAGCCAGTTTTATACTCCTGCCTGCTATGAGCCAGACTAGAGCGAGACAATGAGAGCCTCTCTGGTGCTGTGGGAGTCCCGTCTCCATCCTGCCCCATGACCTCGCTAATCGCCACCACTCTTTGCAGCCAATGAGATGAATGGGCTGAGGGAGGAAAACAAGATCCTGAAGGAAGAAATGAAGCTGCTTCGGAGCCTGCGGTGAGTGGGGCAGCACAGGCCCAGATGCTCGCTCAGCAGACCCGTGTCCTGGCTGTCCCAGTTCTCTAGCTTCTGTATCCTCATCATCGGCCTCGTGTCCTCTCCAGAGACAAGGCGGCACCCCAGGCCTGGGAGGGCTCCTCAGAGCCCGCATCACCCATGCTGCTCCCCTCACCTGGGAACCGGAAGGGTGCCGAGAACCCCCCAGGAGACCCGGAGGAGGCAGAGGAAGAACAGCCAGGCACAGGTCCATGGGGTTAGCGGGAGGCAGGGAGATTGGGCACCTGGGGGATCCCACAGTGTCTCCCTAGCTCCTTGTCATTCTTCTTCCCACAGATAAGGTGTCAAGCCACAAGACTTCCCCAGTGGCCAGAATTTCCCCAGCTGCCAACCTGCCTGAGCCACGGGCCTTGGACATGGTGAGGACAATGGTCTTGACCCCTGACCTCCCCCCCCCCAACACTCAGTGCCATCCTGACAAGTGGGCTGGCCCCATAGTCCTGCCTTGTTCAAGGTACTTTGTGCCAACTTGTCCCCAGGCCAGACAGGGACACTGAGCTTCATAGGAGGTGGGGGAGGCAACCCCGGGTGAGATGACCTGCCAGGCTGACCCGCCCACCCTGTACAGAGTCCTCAGTGCATCTCCAACCAGCTGCACTCGACAGTAGCTGTGGTGCGGCCCGGCTCCCGGGCCTGCCCACAGGACAGTGGCACCGCCAACGGAACACCCCCGCCACCAACCACCAGAAGCAGCCCACCCAGCCCACCATGTGAACATGGCCTCCCTGTGGACAGGTGAGGCTCTACCCAGCACTGTGAGCAACGCTCTGCTTCTGCCCCATAGTAGAGGCAGGACACTGGTAGACACCTTGGCTCGGGCACTCAGAAGACCTAGGTAAAGCTCCAGTCTCATGGCCTAGCAGAGCCAGTGGGATTGTGGGAGATGGACAGGGGGATCAGACACTCTAGGTAGCTGGTGCTCCCCCCCCACCAGATATTGTAATTCACTTTCTGTTGCTGGGATAAGCAAAAACTCTGACCAAAAGCTTACACAGCCTAGGAGTGTCTGCCCAGGAGACGGTGCCACCCAGCATGGGCTGGGCTCTCCATCAATTAATAATCAAAACAATCTCCCATGCATCAGCCAATCAGATCTAGGCAGCCCGTCAACTGAGACTCCCTTCTCCTGAGGCTGCCTCAGCAATTAAAGCTAAAGACACAGGAGGAGGCATAGGACCCAGTGTGTTCATGCTCTGGGTCCTTTTTGACCAAATCTGCCACCTTCTTCTATACATAGTGGCCTCCAGAGAGGGTATGAGAATCCGCCCTCTCCCATGACCATGTGACCTCAGGTGGCTTGCCTGACCATCCATGAAGTGAGTGCCTATTGTCTTCCCTCTAGGATCTCACTTAGCCAGTCACTCTTCTCTTTCCCCTAGCTTCCTGCGGGCCTCTCGGCCATCAGCCCTAGCCTATGAGACGCTGAAGCGCTCCCTTCAGACCGATCGCCTCTGCCTCCTGAATCGTCACCTGTCTCTGCATCTGCAAAGCCCCCAAAGGAGCCCCCCGGCTCCTGCTACAGCTGCCAAAAGCCCCCTGCCCCAGGGCCTGAAAACTAGAGAGGCAGAGGCATGGGAGGAGCCTGGCGCCCTGATGGGCATACAGGACCCACGGCTGGAAGGAGCATTGCACCTGCTGCTGATTCAGCAGCAGCTGCGGGCACGGGCAGGGGCAGGCAGTGCCAGGTTGAGGGTCCCATCCACACTAGAAAATATGCCATCTTCCCCACCAGCTGGTTCGGATTCCGAAAGTGAGGTCCCCGGGACAGCTTTGAGCACAGAGGCCCAGCCTGATGGGTGGCATCCGCAGTCCACAAGCCAATGTAGCCCCCCAAGGAAGGAGATACATGTGACCACTCAGGACTGTCCCCCAGACAAGCCTCTGGACCTCTCTGACCGGGGACGGTGTCGGGACAGCCTCAAATCCACTAGCCAACCTTTGCCACTCAACACCACAGTTGCCCACGCTCCCAGCCCCCAGCTGCCCACCTTGTCCAGACCTGTGATTCACAGCCCCCATACTCTCAGCAATGGCAACACACAGGCCAGAACTCAGGAGCCTGAGGAACACTCTACTCCCAAGGTAAGGGTCCCAGTTCTGGCCTTACTCTCTATGCCATTGCACTACAGAATGGCATTCACATCTCCTTGGGCTGCCTTCTCTCTGCTGCACCAGTCTGTGCCAAAGAGCAGCCTAACGGTCCTGTTCACACTCGGAAAGGACTGAATATCCACCTACTACAGCCTGAAGATGGAGTTGGCTCAGGGACACACACAGACAGTCAGAGACACAGAGAGAGATACTCAAACCATTAATTTGCCTCTCCTAGGACACCTCACACCTTCTCCCAGGGACCCATGCCAGCCTGACCTCTCCTGGAAGGACAGCAGAGGAGGCTGGAGGAAAACCAAGGCCAGTACCCCACTTGCAGAGACCTGCCACTGATGGGACCACAGGTAAAGTCAGCACTCAGAGAACCAGTCCAGTGGGAAGGGATGTGCAGTGGGAACTAATGTACAGTGGGAAGGGATTGCAGTGGGAATGGATGTATAGAGGGAAGTGATGTGCAGTGGGAACTGATGTGCAGTGAGAAGGGATGTGCAGTGGGAATGGATGTGTACAGGGAAGGGATGTGCAGTGGGATGGGATGTGTAGTGGGAAGGGATGTGCAGTGGAAACGGATGTACAGTGGGAAGGGATTGCAGTGGGAAGGATGTGCAGTGGGATGGGATGTGCAGTGGGAATGGATGTGCAGTGGGAAGGGATTGCAGTGGGAAGGATTGCAGTGGGATGGGATGTGCAGTGGGAATGGATGTGCAGTGGGATGGGATGTGCAGCGGGAAGGGATTGCAGTGGGAAGGATTGCAGTGGGATGGGATGTGCAGTGGGAATGGATGTGCAGCAGGAAGGGATTGCAGTGGGAAGGGATGTGCAGTGGGCATGGATGTGCAGTGGGATGGGATGTGCTGTGAAATATGATGTGCAGTGGGAAGAGATGTGTAGAGGGAAAGGGAGTGATTGGCAGCCTGCTGGCCTCCAGTGTGGTCTCTCCCATTGTGGATAGAGGCTCTGAGGCTCAGAAGTATTGCTCTCTTCTCATTTGAGGAAGGGAAGGCACCAACCCACAGGGCTGTAGGAGTCAAGCAGGAGGTTATCTAGTGGGAGGGCCTGGATTCAGATATCCAGCAAAAGCCCTGAGGAAGGTTACCAGCTCCTCTGTGTCTTCATCTGAAGAGTTATTCTCATTGTCCTGGAACACCATGTCTAGGGCCACCAGTCTGGCTGACTCCATTCGTGTCTTTCAGAGCCCAGCAAGGTCAGGGCACAGAGGCCAGAGCTGCAGCAACTGGAAGAGTCAGACACCAAGGTAGGTCCTCAACCATTCATTCAAAGTGACCCTGGCAGCAGGCAGGAGAGGGGTTGTTCCTTGCCCTGAGTGTGTTTTCTTCTGCCCAGATGGGACTGACCTCTGAGGCAAGCACAGAGTCAAGCATGCCAGGAGAGAGACAGGCTGAGGGCCATCAACAGGGTCCACAGCAGAAGAGGAAGCGGACCTCAGATCTTCAGGACAAAGGTACCTGCCTCCTGCCTCCTGGAAGGGCAAATAGGGCAACATATATGGTAGGTGCCTCTCCTAGACCCTGGAGAATGGCATCTGGGGACCAGCGAGAGCCTGACGGAACCCCTGAACCTCCCCAGTAGAGACCTCTGTGAATCCCGACCACATGGCCTCCTGGCAGTACTCCTGGGCCTTAGCTTCCTTCCCTCAAGAGCACCAACACCAGCGCTCTATAAAACTTCAGTGGGAGAAGAGCAGAGCTGAAAGGGGCTGGGGGTGCATCTCAGCTGGTAGAAGTCTTTCCTGGCATGCATGAGGCCCTGGATTCTAACCCCAACACTGAAAAAAAAATTGACATCTTCCACAGGAAACAATATTTTGGGTTTTTTGTTTTGAGACAGGCTCTCATTATGTAGCCCTGACTGGTCTGGAACTTCCTCTGCAGACCAGAGAGACCTCACACTCACAGAGACTGTCCTGCCTCTGTCTCCTGAGTGCTAGGATTAAAAGTATGCACCGCTAAACCCAGTCACAGGAAACAACGTAAATCATGTTGTCCTCTTTTCAGCTGCAGTAAGATCAAGGCCAGCCTATGCTATTATGAGTGAGCCCCTGTCTCAAAAAGTGGGGGGGGGAAAGAGTGGAACTGAAGACAGTGATTACTGTCCCCCTGGAAGCAGCTCCTTGGGACTGGCATCCTTGGACCCTCTTGTACACCTTTGGGCAGCCACATCCTCTGTCCCTGTGGTCCTTGGGGGTTAGGGTTGCTCACGTGTTTGCTCAGGGCGGTGCCTTTGAGTTCAGCTCTGCCCGATAAGATAGCAGGAATCTCAGACTGGTCCCGGGTATGAGAATCATGACACTTCCTGCTCCAATGCACAATGGTGAGTCTTTGAACACCTAAGCTAATATGCATGTGGCCTATGTTTGCCCAGGCTACAGCTCAGCAGGCTGGGCTGGGGCCACAATAAGCCATTGTTGCTGGAAAGGGACTGACCGCAGCCTGTGTTTGCTCCGAGTGGAGGCCAGGGTGCCTGTGTCATTTCCAAGCACTTCCTGCTGTGTGCGACATGGAGTGGGTGTGGCTCACCTGGGTTCCCAGTGTGTGCTTGCACCTTTCACACTCGCAAGCCAGCCCCCCTCCCCTGTCCTCCCAGGTAGAATTGGGCCAGGGACAGCTGGCTCCAGGCACCCTGTGGGTAGCAGTCCTCCATTCCCGGACACTGCCTGGTAGTCAATGGGAACAAGCTCATTGTAAGGATCCCGCTTTACCTAGCAGGGTGACACACATCCCAGCATTACCCTGAGCCATGCAGAGTGGGAGGGGTATGTAGTTGTCTCTACTTTATAAAGGCCTACAAATTCACCCAGCGGGTAGAATTGGCACTATATGACAGATGGGAAAACTGAGGCTTGGTATGTGAATTGGTCCAAAGCCACAGGTCTGCTTTGTAGACCTACCATCTCAGTAGGTCCTGGGTGTGACCTGCCCAGAGCCAGATGCCCCTCCCTTGTAGTCAGAGTCCAGCCACCCTGTGGCAGTGAGGGAGACTTTGGGGCTGGGCTCTGTGAGAGCCTCTCCTCCCATGCTCCAGCCACTCAACACCTTGTTAGGAACAAGAGTGGCCAGCTGGCTTCATGGAGTTTAGCTTTCCTAAGCCTAGATAGAAGCTGAAAGCCAGAGAAACATCTAAGGAGGAGAAACAAGGCCACAGGGCCATTTTCATGCCTCTTCTAACTTCATATTTCCCACAGCCCCGAAGAAGCCATCTCAAGGGAGAAGGAAGCCAAAGGAATCTTCGACGCTAACAGACAGCCCCGGGAGCCCAAGGGACATGGAGGACTTCAGCCTTTCCCCTATTGACAGCTGTCAGGAGTCCTAACCCACCACAGCTCGGAACAGTCAGTACACCGAGGCACTTCCCGACATCCAGACGGTCTGTGAGGCACATCTCCCTCCCAGGTCTCTGGGCAGCTTCTCCCCCTCTCAACCGTGTAGTAAGATGCAACACACGGAGGCCGGACAGGGAATAGGGGAGCCTCAGTCCAGCCCCACCCCCTGCAACTCCCTCACCTCCGGGTGCAGAGGTTCCAGAGCCTGCAGAAGACTCCAGGCCAGGAAGAAGCGGTCTCAGGCGCCCCCTTGTGGAGCATGAGCAAATGCAGCCAGCAAAGAGGAAAAGGGGAAGGCATTGTGACCTCGGGAGAGCGCAGAGAAGAATATGAACAGTAATATACACAGCTGGCAGGGCTGAGGTCAGGGGCACTGGCCCATTTAGGCAGGCAACCCAGGATTAACTGAATCCAAGCGCAGGAAGACAAAGCAAAAGTAGCCCGTATGTTCTGTAGAGGCCCTGCACACTGACAACCTGGTGCTGTCTCTGAGCTTAAGAATCAGTCCTGAACCACTGGATCACGGGGGTATTGAAGACACTCGGGGACCTGGGCGGATGAAGCTTAGGAACTGCCACTTTCAGAACAAAGACAGGCACTGTGGGCAAAGGGTTTCCGAGTCAGGGTCCAGTGTGAGGAGAGAAGGAAGAGAGAAGGTGTCTTGGGGAGGTCAAGGAAGTGGCATCGAAAACTCAAATTTGGATTTGGGGGGATGAATAGGAGGGTACCAAGTAGGCAAAATTCCTGGCATGCTTTTATAAGTATCTCAACGCCTGCTAAGAGGTCAGGGTGAAGGCCAAACAGAACTCACTTGACCATGACTAAGGAAGGCCCGAGCTGACCAAGCCAGGTAGAAGGGACCACGGCATAATAGGGTGCTGCGGAATAAGAGTTTCAGTCGTAAGAGTCTGAAATTTCTGGAACTGGAGAAGTTGTCACTAGGGCTAAGTGAGGCCCAGGCTTAATGAGAGGTACCATTCTCCACTGGGCAGACAGTGGCCTCTCTGCCTGCCACCTGACAGAAGGACCGAATTCCAGGGGATATCCAGGGGTGCATGTGCACATGCATGTGTGCATGCATGTGTTGTTGTTGCTTTTGCAGGTTCCTTGAGTTGTTTTTTTTCAAAATTAAATAAAACACAAGCTGTATGCTCTATCTACTCTAACTTCCTGGTCTGTGAGGGAACACACCACAACACCACACCCAGGAAGATGCCTAAATGTCCCTCAGGCACCTCAAGGATACCACAGTGCCTGCCTGCATTGGGGGCCAGCTCTAGGGCCAGCTCCACGTGGCACCCTGCTGAGAAGCACACCTCCTTGCCATCCCCACTTGACAGCAGCTTCTGTTAGCCACAAGCTGGTTGTCCTCTCCCACTCCAGGACTGCACATTAGCAACAAGGACCTGGGGCCACCATACCACAGGCCCAACACTCATCTATCCCAAAGCTGCTTAGGCATACAGCTAGTACATCATCGCTACCGGGAACCAAAACTCAGAAAGGTGAGTCACCCCCAAGGCCACTTGCAGACAGTGGGGGTTAACAGCAGCCTGAGCTTCGAGGGCACCACACCCAGGTCAGCAACATCATGACCCCTTCAGGGTTTAGTGTTTGCTCTGACAGAAATGATCCTCTCTGGGAGTTGCCCACAACATGCTTGTGACCAAGCCCTACATTCTACTAGAAAGGAGAACTGCCCACCTTACCACTAGCTCCTGGCAGAGGCCAGCATGGAAAAGGCAGGGGAGAAGAGGAGAGGGCAGGGTAAGGGTAAGCCTGCTTGTGCAGGGATGAAAGAGTCTGCCAAGGGGAAAAGGGGGTGGGTGTCTGGCAGGATCAGTCTGCCTAAGCCTTAAAAGAAGGGAGGGACAGGCAGTGAGGACCACTGACAGATTCTCCTGGTAGCTAAGAAGCCACTTCCTAGGGTTCCCTGTCCCTCAACCAATTCACCGCAGCACCCGCTGCAGTAGCCACAGGACCCGACCCGACCAGGCAGTGAGCACAAGGGGAACATAATGGGGAATTTTCCTTTTGTGCTCCCGCAATGGTCCACCAAACACCAAGGTCCGACCTTAAAGATAAGTGCACATAGGCTGGTCGCGGGGAAGAGCTTATGGTGGCAGCAAGGAGGGCTTCAAAGCCTCCGAGGACAGACACACACACAGTACACAGCCAAAGAGGTCTGTATAATCAAGCCCTGGACTACAGGGGAAACCGCAGACTGAACACCATGCGACTCAGGACCACATCCATGCCGATACTTAGGCAACCCAGGACGGTGCCAGCTGTCCTCAAACCATAGATGGGTCTCTTCCGCCGACAGCGAGGGAGAGCAGGTGGGTCCGCTGGCACAGTCCGGAAACTGTGGTTCCGGGGTGGCTCCAAGGGTGGATGCCCAACCCAGAGGAAAAAACAGTCTGGAGGGCAAGTGACTAGGCCTGGCCCACACCCCGAGTCCGTGGCCCATAATGAGCATTCTCTGCTGGGTGACCCCCCACACACTGCGTCCTGGACAAGAAAACAGGACAATGGCGCCGCCGTGCAGCCACCGACCTCGCTGTGTTTAGAGCCCGGTGGCCAAGCCAAACCTACAACCGTTAGACGAGCCCACCTCTAGGACCCAGGGGAGCGCCGGGGCACGGTCCACCTCGCTAGCCAATGGAAGGGCTCAGGGGAGCCTCATTTGCATCTAGGTGCGCTGCGGCCAATGAACGGGGACAGCGGGACCGTATTTGCATGCGGCCACTCCTGGGCCAATGGGAGGGAGTGACGGAGTGACATTTGCATGCAGGCGCGCCGCGGCCAATGGGCAGCAGCGCGGCGGCGGCGCGGCGCGGCGGCGCACTCGAGCATGGCCGCGGCCGCGGCGGGAGGAGCCCCGGGTCCGGCCCCCGGCTCCGCCAGGCCCGCGCCGGCCGCCCGGAACCCGCCGTCGGTGCCGCGGAGACGCGGGGACTCCCGGCGCCGCCAGGCCGCTCTCTTCTTCCTCAATAACATCTCCCTGGACGGACGGCCCCCGAGCCTGGGTCCCGGCGGGGAGAAGCCCCCGCCGCCGCCGCCACCCCCGCCCACCGAGGCCCGCGAGCTGCCCGCGCCTCCGCCCGCTCCACCCGGAGGCCTCCCGGGGCTGCCAGCCAGGCCCGCGCCCCAGGGCCTACTCAGCCCCACGACGGCGCCCGCCGGCCTCAGCCTGGACGGGCAGCGCCAGAGGTGAGCGGGCTGGGCGGGTCGGGGTAGCCTAGAGGCCTAGGCAGCGCGCCCGCTGTGTGACCTGTGGGTTTGGCAGCCCAATGGGCACAGGTGGTGGTAGCTGAATCCTTCCCCACAGCTCACAGGGTGGTTGACCTGTGGGCCCGGCGGACCTGGACATGGTTGGGGTAAAGTGGATCCATTCACCCAGCACACAGGTGTCCCCTGGGATCAGTCAGCTAGCACTTAGAGGTCTAGTCAGCCCAGGACATAAGGGTCAGGATGACCTAAGCCCACCAGCCCAGGCTCCGTCATTCCTGTACTTAAAGGGCTCATCACCCCAACCTGCAAGAGTCAGAGCGCCTTGTCGTCCCGTCTGCCCTTGACTTGATTGCGATGATCTGGCAGCATCAGTCCAGAATACAGGCGACAAAATTGGGGTTAACTGAAGCTTGTCAGACTCCAGATACAGGGACTAGTTCCATTAAAGCTGTCCTCTCCCTATGGGGTCAGTTCTTCGCCTTGAGAGTCCCCTGTAGGTGGATTTCGGAGTCCCCTTAGCCTCACTCACTTTAGACACACCCATTCTGTCTGTTCTGTCAGTGCCCAAAGCACTGTGACTCACAGACACTTCTTACATGCCGTGTGTTCACCTCAGCTTGTGAACAAGAGTCTTCCCCACACTTTCTCAACTGTGCTCAGCCTTGTACACCTGCCCAGACTCTCCTCCTTGCCGCTGCACACCTGCTGGATACAGGACCTGTCTGTCACACTGCACCCTGTACTTCCCCTGTCTGCATCATTTCTAGGGGCCCCTCAGTCTAACTAACCCAAGGCAGCTCTTATTCCTAACCACCGCCCCTCCCCACGATTGTGCCCACTTCCCAGTGTCCACAGCCACCAGCTACCATATGGGTCTCAGCCTCCTCCTCAGCCCCCTCTTACATCCTCAGTCTTAGTAACAATAGGAGCCGATTCTGGCCATTATGGTCCCTTACTGGTTGATAGGCCTCTCTACTATAGGGCAGGACTCCTGCCAGGTAGTTCTCAGCACTGGGAAGCCCTGGGCAGGTCTAGCCTGGGTACGCTGTAGGCTCACAGTGATGAGGTGCCTCCCAGGTCTGTGAGGGGGAAAGTTCTCTGACGTCTGACCATGTATCACATGTGTGTCCAGAAGGGCCTGAACTCTCTGTGGTCACCACCTTAGCCTGCTTTCCACAGGACCTAGAAGGATCCACTGGGGACAAGGGATAACTGAAGAGCAGGCTGGAGTTCGTGTGAGTGAGGCACCCTGTGCTAGGTCCTCCAGTGAGCTATCTCCTGCCTTCTAGTTCTGCTTTCCAGTTCATTCTGATAACCTGTGGCAGACATCTTTTCTTGGGTTCTGCTTCCAAGTTCTTGGCTAGAGTTGTTACCCTTCCTCTCACGGGCCCAGGCTCTTAGGAAGAAGACTGTCTACCCTCTCTCAGCTCCCACCCTGTGTCTAGGAGAGACAGTAGTGACTGGCTCCCAGGTTTCCCTGATCTATTGGAATGTTTTGTTTTATGTGCATTGCTGTTCTGCGAGCAGGTACGTCTGTGTGAGCGTGTTAGATCCTCTGCAGACGAAGTTACAGACAGTTGTGAGCTGCCGTGTGGGTGCTGGGAACTGAATCTGGACTCTTGGGGAGAACAGCCAGTGCTCCTAACCACTGAACCATCTCTCCCCCTGATCTGTTTATCTGGAGTTCCTGAAGGCTGTGTCAGGAGTGCAGACCAGCTTTCCTCCACCCAACAGCTCTGTGACCTTGAGCCCTTAAGGGATTTCTTAGAACCTCAGTCCCCCCCCCCCCCCCCCTGCAATAGGCTGCCCTGAAGCTCTTGCTCCTTGAGGTCCTGTGATCCTAAGGACTCAGTAAAGTGACAACCTGTTACAACTTGGGGCTCCCAACAATGTTTCTAGCTAGTGACAGAATCGCCCCTGGTTTTCTGTCCGGGGCTCTTGGCACTGTTGATGGTCTCCTTTCACTGTGTGCCTGGGAGTAGAGTCATCTCTAGAATCTGTGGTCAGGTTTGAAGCATGCATTCCAGCTCCCTCACCACTGCTGCCTTCTGCCTAGAAAGCCTATGTATGCACCTTCAGAGCCATGGTGACAAAGGACACAAATCCGGTAGCTCTCCACAGCAGCACTTTCTTCCCTTCTCCAGGCCCTGAGCTCATGCTATGTTGTTCTGTCTCTTGTCTCCCTGTGTGTCCTCACAGACTTTTCCTTGTCCTCCTTTTGGTTCCTTCCTAGACTGTCTCTAGCTGAGGCCCCTGACAAGGGCTAAGCCTTTGAAGGATCATTTTGAGGAACCACTTCAACTCACAATAGCCCTGCATAGTATCTGCTGCAGGAATGAGGGGGAAGGGAAAGTCCCACACACAAATGACTTTGCAAATTGCAACCTAGTGCACCCACCATCAGAGAGCTGGGCATAGCCTAGAGGCGGGAGGCTGTGCTCTGCTTTTTTCTGGAAGAGGGGCCTAGGCCAGCCCTAACCAACCCCTGAGTCCCTTAGCACCATACTTATTCTGTGCCCAGCATCTGCTCACTGGGGAGCAGACGACCCCTGGAGTGGAGTTCTCTAGGACAGGTGCCTGCCCCACCCTGAGGCCCTGCTTTCTCTGTGTAGCTGCTAGACTACAGGCCCTACATGGAGTCCTGGAACCAGGCACCTCATCAGGAGACCATGGGGTTTGTTTTGTTGATTTTTTTTGTGGGCAGAGGCTGCTCATTCATTTCCAGCCACCCAGACTTGAAATAATCACACAGAAACTATATCATTTAAAACACAGTTTGGCCTATTAGCTTAGACTTCTTATTAACTAACATTTTTAATTAACCCATTTCTGTTAATCTGCTTATCATCACAAGGCTGTGGCTTATCAGGTAAAATTCCGGCATCTGCCTCCTTCAGCAGCTACCTAGCATCTCTTTGACCCTGAGTACTTTCTCTCTCTGTTCAGATTTCCCACCTGGCTTTATTCTGCCCTGCTATAGGCCCAAAGCAGATTCTTTATTAACCAGTGGTAATAAAACATATTCACAGCATACAGAGGGGAATCCCACATCACCTCCTCGTTTCTGTCTAAATGAAAAGGAAGGTTTTAACTTCAACATAGTAAAATATATGTAACGAAAAGGTATCAAACAAGAATTATAGATATAATATTTAGTCTATTTACATTTGACAAATTAAGGAAAATACCCTATTACCTATCCTATCTTTGTGAGTCTAAAATTTTATATCTAATTTATCCTTTATCATAACTAAGGAAAACTATCTTTCTTCAGCTCTTCAAAGACCCCAGAAGGATATAATATTACCTCAGTTAACAGGAAGTACATTGTAAGCAACTTTCAAAATTCTAGAGTTACAGAGACATCTTGCTGCCTGGCCAGTCACCCAAAGTTCTTCTGTAACGTTGGGGCATCCATCTTCAGCCTACAGGCCCATAATATCCAGCAGACTTTTTCATGAAGCAGGAAATTTCAAAAACAGGTCCACCAATATTGGCAGTTTGTCAGTCAGTTTCTTCTGTGTTCTGCAGAATGTCTGGCAGACTCTTTCATGAAGCAGGAACTGTGAAGGACTGTCTCACCTTTAGTCAAATTCAGCAGTCATTTTTCTGTGAGTCCTGCCTGTCCAGTTTATGCAGCATAATATCCAGCAGTCCAGGCAAGAACAGCTTCTTGCCCAAATGACTAACAAATTCCATGAGGAACCTCTTCAATGCCCATCTTCCTCTTGAAGTAAGATGTGTTTCATTGTCATGAAAAGTACTAAGTTCTTAAAACATTTTGAATGGCATATTCTATTAGTCTTTTAAAGGTTTGAAGAATACCTATCCATCTGAACTATATCTCTGAACATCTAGAAAACCTAACATGACTCCAAGTTTGACTATTGTAGATGACTATCTATTAACCTGTATTTCTTAATTATACATTATATATTTTTTTGTTTTTGTTTTTGTTTTTCAAGTCAGGGTTTCTCTATGGTTTTGGAGCCTGTCCTGGAACTAGCTCTTGTAGACCAGGCTGGTCTCGAACTCACAGAGATCCGCCTGCCTCTGCCTCCCGAGTGCTGGGATTAAAGGCGTGCGCCACCACCGCCCGGCCTATACATTATATTTTTAAATGAGCTGCACAAACACCTTAATCAGGATCAGAAATATGCATATAACAAAATTGACTTTAAATACGTATCAATAAACAAAGCCCATACCAATGCAAAATATTCATCTCTATAGCATATCCCCCTTTAAATGTAAACAAACATTTATAAACAATTGTTTAGGGAATTTGGACATTGTTCTCTATAGACTACTTCCTGCTGATTTGGGGCACTCTTAATCAGTTTGTCATGGGGTGTCCTGTGTGGCAGGTCCATCTCAGCCAGCAGTCCTGAAGCTGTCATGGATGTTGGACTATCTGGCTATTGCTTCAGTGGGTCTTGTTGATCAAACCATATTAGCTGGTAAGGAATCCATAGCTTTTTATCCTCTGTGGAAACAAAAGCAGAATTTCTTTTCCAAAGCAACATATCCTTAGTCCCAATTTTTAAAGTCAAGATACCTTTAAAATATATATATATATTGGTTTAGCTTAGCGGCCCATATAATGAAATGCCCCTTTGTACTTAGCTCATTCACAGTCAAAAAATTTAAAGAAAACACAATAAAATACATAATCCATCTTTATGTGAATTATTTTTCTTTACTCCTTTAATATATGACTGTCTGTACTCTATCTCTTTAAAGACTTTGTTTTATTTTTTAAAACTATTACTTTTTATAACTATCTATACTTTTATTCTTCTCTCTCTCAAGCCTACATACATTTTTTTAAAATACTGTGATCCATTCAGAGGTTTATTTCTATCTGAATCTATCTTTATTGCATATCTGAAATCATTTTCTGACCAGGAGCATTTTTTTTTAAATGCTAAGCAGGCATAGCTAGGACCAGTACTGCCACCCTGCCTGTTGGCTCCATC